TTCGAATCTGAAGAATTTAATGTAGAGTATTTTGAGGACATCTTAATTGACATTTGGGCAGCATAATTAGAGGAAAAGACGTAATCAAAGGCCAATTGTTTCTTGAAGGCGAGATGGTTTAAGGTTGCGCTTTTCTTTTCAGCTTCTTAAAAATTCCGTTTAATTCACTGCATCTAAGATAATGGGGTTTTATTGTGAATGAACGTTTCATTCTGGATATAACGAGAGGCATTTAAAGGAAATTTATGATCAGAGAAAGACCAGTATCTGCCATCACAAGAACTGATGAAGGTTCATTAATCGAAGTTATAATCTTTACCCTGCAGAAACTGTTCAAGTTGTCTGATCCATGCATCATGGATCATCCAGTGATTCAAGCTGGGGCTAATGGTGAGTGTTATTACAATCTTTTAATAATTAAAAATTTAAAATGTATGTAGTTTCTTGCATGATTGACTTCGTAATGATTTTCGCTTTCTTTTTCAAAATGGTCAGAAATATCAACGAATCTCACTGCGGTATAGTCTGGAATTTTATCTTTGAGTTAAAACTGTAACGTTCTTTTGAGTCCAAATAAAACGGCATTTCGAATTATTCAATATTAATTCGCAAAATGCAAGGTTAAATAATAACATCGCACCGAATTAAATCATGTGAGAATGCAACAAAAATTCCGCTTACAGTTTTTTTAACCTTAGCGACATCTACACGCGAAAATATGGAGCTGTATCTGTAGAAGCAATACAGATGTCGTGTAAACCGCTTCGTTTTATCGTTTGCATCATGAAGAGTTTCCTCATCAGTGAACAGCACACAACAGTTTAAATCATACTGTCCTTGTACATTTTTAAATGCAGCTCAATGTCTTCAATTTGGATTTCAAGGGACCAACAACAAAAATTTGACTTTGGGGGGTTTTGAGTTACACAGTAAAAATGTTTGCCTTATGGCATCATTAGCAGCATTTTTATTATGCGAAACACTGAAGAATTGCAGTAAATTGTACATGATGATATTCTGGGCCTTTTGCTTCTATGAGTTGACAGGGCACTGAATTTTGAGGCAGGGGTTCATTGGCCCAATATTTAGTCAGTCACATCCTTTCAAACCTATTCAAATTTATTTTTTATACACATGTTCTTCCCTGTTTCAATAAAATAATAGCCTAAAGGCCTAAAAATTCAACTGGTTGAGGTTTTGGAGGAAACCGCCTTTGAGTTAGGGAGGTTTTCAATGCCTTGTTTCTAATGGATTTTGGACTGGGTCTTTGAAAATTTAAGGAGAGGTTTGACTAAGCAAGGTTCAACTACCATTGTCCTGCATCAGTTTAAATGAGACCTCTTGGGATGAGAGAATTTATAAGTGTCACATTTAATGCATGGAACCTTTTCAAAGAGAGGTATTTGTTTTCAATTTCACCAACATATACTCTGTATAGCTGTAATTCACGGCTCCGGTATAACTCACCGCACCTGTACTTGCCGCAGCTGTGCTTGCCGCACCCAAACTTGCCGCACAACTGACTCGCCGCTGTCATCTCTTGCCGCTGTGACAACCCACCGCAAGCACAACTCGCCGCAGAAATAACCTGCCGCTCATACAAGTTGCCGCAATTAAATATGAAAAAATGAAATGAAAGTGGAAAAGTTTATTATATCAGGATATTTGAGAGTGCACAGAACATAAGAGAGGTTAACTATGCATGGTTAAATTCATGGAAACACCCTCCAAATATTCCAGGATTGTTCTTGAACTACGTGAACTCAACAAACTTTGCAAATTCTTGGTAATTTTTCTGTATTTTTCTTTTAATTCATAGGGTTCTTTTCCTTTTTTT